ACCGCGTCCTGCTGGCGGCCAGCTCAGGGCTCTTACTGCTCAACGGAAACCCGCTGGAGAGGGAGAGAGAGGACGCCAGCCCGAGGACAGGGCCTGGAAAGGCCGGAGCTGACCTCGGCTTCCGCTGGAATCTCTGTGGGTTGCTGGGTGCCTCTGGGGTCAGATGCCACTGTGGCCTGTGACTCTGGGCAAGTCCCCGACTCTGCGCCTCCGTGCCCTCCTCCGTGCCCTCCTCCGTGCCCTCCTCTGTGGGCCGTCTTCTGCATGGCGCCTGCGTGTTGGGTCACCTAGGACGTGTCCCTAACACCTGGGAGCCTCAGGTTCCTCCTGGGGGGGTGCTGCTGAAGCTGGGGCTGGACTTAGCTGGGGCTGGACGTCCCCTGGGGAGGCAGAGGGAGGAGGAGGGGGAGACCGTGCAGTCTGCAGCAGACCTGGACCTTGAAGCTGGGGCTCCAAGGCCAAACGGGATCACTTAGGATTGGGACAAAAACAGGTGCCGAGTGTCCTTTGGAGGAGGCCAGGTGCAGGGGTGGGCACGGCTGCTCTTCAGGAATCTCAGTCTTAAAGGAGCCCTGGTGGCTGGGTGGTCAGGGAGGGCTTCCTGTAGGAAGAGGCCTTTGGCAGCTCCTGGAGAAAGGGGCGAGAAGCCTGGAGCCCACCTCCCTGCTTCAAGAGCCTGTTGTCCAGCTGGTGTCTGCTGAGGCGTGAGCCGACCTGGCCTGCCAAGGACACTCTGAGTCCCCGCCGTGCCTTGGGGCAGGATGGGGGCTCATGGAGGAGGAGGGTCTGTTGGAATTGGGGTGGGGCCTGAGCCCAGGTTGTTCAGCGTGAGCAGCTGCCCTTCGCTCCCAGGACGAAGCAGCCTCGGTCTGGTCCACAGTGCCCCGCGGGGTGTCCCACCTCCTTGCTGGGCTCTTGTGGACGTGGCCAGTCTCTGGTGGCCACGTCTTGGTTTCTGATCCGGCCCTGGGACGCCCTCGAGGGGCCCACGTTAGAGGGCCAGCTCCCGGCGCCTCCCTCCGCCTGGGTCTGGTGACCGTGGAGCCTGCTCTGGGGGCTGCAGGGCACCGTGGCCGAGGCCTGTGGACGTGGGTGGGGTGCGGTGGGCACGGGTGTTCGGGAACATGGGGTCAGCTCCAACTCACAGAGAGAGCGGGGTGTGGTGGCACACGCCTGTGATGGCCCAGGACGGTCACAGGCTCAAGGCCAGCCTCAGCACGAGGCCCTAAGCAACTTAGTGAGACTCTGTYTCTAAATAAAAATAAATCCATAGACCCAAGGGCTGGGGCRGGGCTCAGTGGTCAGACCTCCCTGGGCTCAGTCCCTGGGACCAAAACAAACAGCATTAACCCAGGAAGAAAGGAGACCACCTCGCAGGCCACAGTGTCCACTGCCCACRCCCCCACAGCCCCTGCCCTGCCCTGGAGACAGGGGAGACCTCTGGCTTGGGAGGGGCCGGCCTCCCCTGCCCTCTGAGCCCAGGGCAGTCCTCCCGCCGCCCAGCCTGAGCTGTCAGGGACCAGGACAGCCCCCGAGGAGCCCCGGTGGCTGGAGCCGCCACCCAGGTCCTTGAGTCGGGGAACTGAGGTCCAGAGACTGTAGTGCACCTGCCCTGAGCCACACAGCAGGTGCAGGATTCAAACCCAGGCCTGAGGGCTGACCCCTGCCCAGGGGCTTGCCTGTGTGTCCTGGGGCCAGGACAGATGACCAAGCAGGGGCCGGGGAGCAGGAGGAGGGAGGGGAGGGGAGGGAAGGGGAGAAAGACAGGGACCCCTGGGGGGAGGCTGGCCCTGGAGCCCCCACCCTTACTTAACTTGAAGCCGGTGGTCTCTGCCTGGGAGTCCAGGGGCCTCGCTGACCCAGGGTGACCCRTCACCTGCCCGCTCCCCCACGCCTGCCCTCTAGGGGATGCCAGGGAGACTAGGGGCCCTCGAGCTGCTGTCCTCCGCCCTCCTGAAACCCAGGCTGCCCCTCTCTGGCCACCACCTGTCCCTCACTCGCCCCTGCAGCCCCGTGTCCTCCTCCCTGGGCTCCTCGGTCTGTCCCTGGGAGTGGCCTGGAGGAGCACCCCAGAGCCTCCTGCTTGGCGCCCTTGCGACTCCCCACTCCGTCCAGATGGCTCGGGGATCAGAGAAAGGAGGGGACTTTGTTTGGGTGAAGCAGGGAGGCAGGACTCGCAGGGCCAGAGGGACCCCGCTCCTGCTCCGAGTCTGACTTGCTGTCCAGGGCCGGCCACCTCCAGCCCACACTCCCCAGGCACTCCAGAGCAGCCCCTCAGGTCACGTCTGTCCCCGTCCCCTCCTGCCCCTAGGGTGGCGGCCTGGCCCTCCTCTGGGCGTCTCTGGCCTGCGCGGGATGCATCCCGTCCCTCCTGACGCCCAGCACGTGTTCCCCTGTGAGGTCCGGACAGGAGGGAGCTGAGGGGCTTGGCCAGCCGGGGATGGATCCTGCTGGTAAACGCGGGTCCAGAGAGGGTCAGTTACCTGTCAAGATCGCACAGCAATCTGGGGCAAGTCCGGGGTTGGACCTGGACGTGCCTCACCCCAGGCTGTGTTCTTCCGTCCCTCAGCTSGGCAGGGCTGGGCCTGCAGGCCAGGTGGCCGCTGCTCCCATTAGTGGGAAGAGGGGACTCAGCCAGCGGTGCCCTGTGGCGGGAGGCCTGTCTCAGCTTCTTTGATGCTCACACTCGCGAACCCCTGGGGGGCGCCTGAGTCATCGCTGAGCCGGCAAACATATTTAGCTCCTTTCATCGTCCCTAATAAATCAATTTCTCCAGGTCTCTCACACCTGCTGCCGACGCTGGGCTGCCTGTCCCCTGACAGCCGGATGCAGGGCCAGCTGCCAGCTCCGGAAGCCGGGCCTCCAGGTGGACAGGCTCCCCCACAGGCGCCTGGCGGTGGACCCTGGCTTCTCAGAGCCCCTTACCCCGTCCTCCTGCGCCCCAGGAGGAGCCACGCCGCCCCACCTTGCCGACACAGCCTCCATTCCGCCGTGGCATGGCCGCAGCCCCCGCCCGGCTCCCTGCAGGCAGAGCTGGTGGGCGGGGGTCCCAGGGCTGCCCAGGCCACTCAGCCCCTCCTGGACCTGGCCTCCCTCAACCCTGCGCCCTCGGGGCCCACCGGCTGGTGTTTGGGCCCAAGGGGGTCCAGGAAGCACCTCGCCTTCCCGCGTCCTCCCGGCCTCGCAGGCTGGAGGGCGGAGGCCCCCACCCGTGTGCCCCCCTGGAGCCTCTTCCCAGGCCCTCCTGGGTCCCCTCCCTCGCAGCCCTGTGAACCCCCTGTCCTCCGGCGCCCTGGGCTGCTTTGGCCCTGCGTGGCAGCCGGCACCCAGCCTGCCTGGGGGCGATGTGACAGAAGCATGTGACAGATGGCAGAGGGGCCACCCAACTCCCCCGAAGCACCTGGCCACCTGCGTGTGGGAAACCGTCCCGGTCAGAGACGGCCCCCGGATGCCGCGGAGCTGAGGAAGCCTGCGTCGGGCACAGGGCAGAGCTGGGCCGTGAACCAGACCCTGGCGCTCACCGCCGCCCGGTGGCCTTCGCGGGAGCAGCTATCGCGACCCCTGCCCGTCTGCTCCCACCTGCCCCAGCAGTCCCTGGGCAGGAGTGTGCTGTACCCGTGCCTGAGACCCCGGCACCGGAGGCTCCAGGACCAAGTCCTCGGGACAGCCCTCAGGGAGGGGGACCCCAGACAGAGGCTCCCCTGGTTCCAGGCCAGGCGGGGGCTGCCCGCTGGGAGAAGGGGCTCACGCTAGCCAGTGCCCGGGGCTCATGGGCTGCTGGAGCCAGAAAACCCTGGGCGACAGGGGCCGGGGCCTGGCTCTGAGCCCTCCCTGCCAGGCGCTGGGCTCCAGGCTGCACGGGGCTGGCTGCTCTCATCCACGTGTGGTGGGCGCCCCCTGCTGCCCAGAGCGAGAAGCGGCAGGGTGTCGGCCAAGCGGGCAGAGCTGAGGGGACCTGGGGCCCGGCCAGGGAGGGTGTTGTGGCCCTCCTGACATCTCCCCCTGGCAGCGCCCTCGCMGTTCCCTGTGCCTCCAGACACCTGAGCCTGCTGAGGCTGAGGCCACCAGGGCCTTTGCTAACTGCAGCCAACCCAGCAGTTATGAGGCACCTACTGTGTACCCCGCACCAGCGTGAGTGCAGTCGGTCCCCTGGGAGCTCACAGGCCAGCCAGAGGCGGACATGAGGCGACCTCCCTGCATTTCCAGGCCTGGCGACCACAAGCTGGCTCCTCCTTGGAGAACCCTCTCCCGGTGGCCCCTCTGCCACGGCGCAGGTGGGCCTGGGCTCGGACTTTGTCCACCCCTGTGGCTTCTGTAAGCCTGAGCTGATCTGAAGGCAAGGGCTTCGTCTGGGTCATCTTGGATCCCTGGCTCTGTGCAAGGATCCCGAAACACAGTAGGTGCTCAATAAGCACAGGCTGAAGGAAGGCATGTGCGGGGAGGGCAGCAGCTCAGCTCCTTAGGGTCTTCAAGGAGGGGCCCCAGGGGTGGGGCTCAGGGTGGGAGCCGGGATAAGGTGTGGGGTGACCTCGTGTCTTAAATGTCCTCTGGGGTCTGCCCAGAGCCCTAGGGCTCAGGACCCAGTGGGCAGGGCTTTGGTCGGACACACTGTAGGTGTGCCATGGACACCTCTGAGAGTCCAGGTGGACGAAGGTCACACACCCGCCTCCCCGTGGCCCCTCGAGTGACCACTGTGGCCAGCCTGTGCCTATACCCTGGACCCGGGAGACCTCGGCTGCCTCTCAAAGCAGAGGCTCTCTCTGTCTGTGGTTGGTGCTGCCTGGATGGCAGACCCAGCTCAGCCCAGCCTGGCGGAAGTCCAGTCCCTGGGGACCTCTGTCCAGCCTGGTAGCCCTGGTGTCCCGAGGATGSGGTTCCAGCACTCCCCCCTGTTTGGGAAAGGGACGGAGGCGAAGGTGAGGTCAGGGGTGGCAGAGATGGTCGTGGAAGGACAGAGCCCACTGCGCGTTGGATGGGGACTTTATTCTGTCCTCCGAGGGACCATCAGAACAGCCACTCCCTCGGGCCTGTCCTTTACTGACGAGGGGAGCTGGGAACCAGACAAAGGTCACAGAGTCCACGTGAGCCAGAGGCAGGAGAGGACCTTGACCCGGCCCCCGGCCAGTGTTCCTTCCACGGACCCCTGAGGCCCTTTCACTGGCCTCACGGGGCGGCCGAGGCGGGCTCGGCCCACAGGCTGCGATCTGAAGAAGTCCCCGTATGTCCTGCCGATGCCCGCAGGGGTGCAACACGGCTGCCAGGTACCTGCCACCTTCAGACAGAGCTCCCACCACCTCCTGTGGCCTCTCCACCTGACCCCTGGACAGCGTGCACCAGGGTGGGGCGGGGGGCGGGAGGGCCATGTGGCCACTGCGGCTCCTCCTGGGGAACCCGCTGCTCCGCCCGCCCCTGCTGCCCGCTTCCTGCTGCCCTGCCAGGGAGGCTCCCTGCAGGGCTCCCCTGCCCCGAGGGTGAGCAGAGCTTCTGGAAAGACCGTCCCCGGATCCTCCTCCAGGCGGAGCCTCCCTAGAGACCCAGCTGTCTGCCCGGGGTTGGTGGCCCTGCTCTGCCATGTGCTGCACTGGGCAGGGCCTGGGGCGCTGGGACCCACTGTGCTACCCCTCACGACCGCGGCGGCGCTGGCCAGGGTCCAGCGGGGAAACCCAGGGAGACGCTGCCTCTCCATGCATGGACCCCGTGTGCCGCTCCTGRGTTTGGCAGCTGCCTCCAGGAAGTCCTCCTGGGACCAGGCCTGCGAAGCTCCACCCTGATGGCAGCACCGTCCTGCTGGAGTCCTGCCTGTCCTGCCTCCCAGGTGGACATCCTGGGGTGGAGCCCGCCCTGCTCCCCCAGCAGCCAGGACTGTCACCCAGCTCAGTGGACCAGAGCCACCAGCCCTAGCTGCTCGTGGGCATGGAGCCCGCAGGCCCAGACGTTTCCAGTCCAGACTGTGGTTCTGCAGGAACCAGGGAGGGGCCCGGCTTGGCCGAGGGCTCGGGGAGGGCCGGAGGTAGGTCTGGACCGTGGGTCTGGGCTCCTGGTCCAGCGCTCCGGGCACCTCTCCTGGGGTCCTGTTGGTGGGTCTCAGGAGCGAGAGCGGGGCCCGACCTGCAGRCCTGAGCAGGAGGAGGGCTGGCGAGGGCTTGGAGGGCTGCGGAACTTCTGAGAGCAAAGGCCTGAGGACAGGCTGCCCAGGGAGGCTCGGTGTCTGGGTCCAGCTGGCTGCTCTCCGCCTTCTCCTGGCCCTCCCTGTGTGCCTGCCCCAGAGCTGCGGTCGGTCTCACAGCCAGGTCTGTGCCCTCCGTCCTGCCACCCCTGGTGGGCAGCAGTGTCTGTGGCCTGGAGAGGGCGCCCTGGGGAGGGGTTCCTCGGGTCCAGGGGACCAGGATGCTGGCCCCGTGCCACCTCCCGGGAGGGAGCCTCACTTCCTGCTGGCGATCTTCTTCTTCCGAGCGGAGACCAGGTCGTAGAAGGGGACCCGGGTGATGCTGGCCCTGCAGTGAGAGGAGAGAAGGTTCCAGAGCTGTGGTCAGGGGCRCGGCCTCAGGGAGCTGCAGGAAGGCCGGGGTGGCCCCGAAAGGACCAAGCCGGGAGGGGCCGGCCTCACTGGCCTTGCCCAGCATCCCACGGGCCGGCCAGAGAGCCGGGGGCAGCGTCTTGGGAACTTGTCCCACAGTGTCCCTGKGCCTGAGGGCAGCCTGGCTGTGGGCCAGCGGACCTCACCGGCTCGCTGCCCTGGACGAGGTCTGTCCTCTCTGGGCCTCGCTTTCCCCATCAGTGAGGTGGAGACGGGCGGGGTCTGCGGGCAGCCTCACGGGCTGCTCCAAGGCCTGAGTCCCGGGACACGGCCGGCCACGCCTGCTCTCTGGCGGATGCTCCTGCCCTTGCTCATGTCAGGCCCCCAGCAGCTTGTCACCTGGTACCTTCCAGGTGTCCCTTCCCCACCTTCTCCTCCGTCAGAGGCCACCGGGGCTTTTGTCCCCTGGACTGAGATGACAGCATCCTACCTTGGCACTTCAGAACCTGGCACACCCCTCCTACCTACTAGTCCGTGGCTCCCTAGTGCCCCTAGAAGAAACCAAGGCTTGTCACCGTGGCCACAGTGCCTTTGCCGTCTGACGCAGCATGCCCACTGCTCAGCCCCCACGCAACTCAGCCTCTCCTGGACTCTGGGGTGCTGTCCCGGGAGGCCACCCACTGACCAACCCTCATGCTTTGTCCACCTTGGTCCTTCCTGGAAAGCCCCTCCCAGAGGCTGGTGATGCTGGCAGGTCACCCTTCAGGCCAGGAGCTGGCCGGGGCTCTCCACGCAACTCCCCATGCTCTCACAGCCCTGGACGCCCTCCCGTGTCCCAGGGCCTGGCATGGTGCCAGGGAAATGCCCTGGGACATGGGTGGAGGGGACCTCGGAGCTGGTCCCTTTGCACACAGGCTGGAAGGCCCAGAGAACCGGGGCCTGCCACGGGGGCCTCACCGGATGGCCTCGATCCACTGGTCCCGCTCCTCGGCGCTGGAGGCCGAGATGCGGTAGGAGCCGTGCCGGCCCTCCACCACCTTGCCCTCGCCGTCCGTCTTGCAGGCCTTGATCTTCTGGCCGCGGCAGCTGGGGTTGTACAGCTCCAGGCAGAACTGGGGGGGCCAGGGAAGGTCAGGGGGGGACCCCGGTCGGGCCTCCAGAAGGCCCAGGGAGGTGGAGACCCCCAGGCGAGGCCGAGACCCCCAGGCGAGGCTGGGCTCCAACAAGCAACCCGTGATCCCCACAGGACCCCTGCCACCCCACGGGCAGCTTCCTGCGTCCGGCGGAGGAACGGGGGCTGTCCCTACCCACAGTGATGCCCCAGGCCAACCCAAGTCACTGCCTCCCTGAAGTCCCCATGTGACAGGGAGCTGGGGCTCAGGGAAGAGCCGAGCTCCAGTCACCCAGCCCTGGCCTATGCCCTGGTCCCTGGCCSGGGAGGGAGAGGCTGGCCTCCCGAGAGCCTTGCCTCCCGCCCTGCCCTCCCCAGCAGCGCTGGCCCTGCCCGCCGACCACTCACGGGCTTCTTGGGGTCCTCCACCTTCTCCACCGAGAGGTTCTCCAGGGGGATGATCCCCCGGGGCTCCTTGTCCTACAGGGAGGGAGGGAGGGAGGGAGGCCAGGCTGGGCAAATGGAATGGAGGCCAAGTGCAGGGAGTGGGCCGGGGGTTGCCCAGGCCCGAAGAGGAGTGGCCGTCGCCCAGRGCTGCCCGCTCCTTGCCCAGGTCCTCCTCCCGGTGCCCTGGATTCCCCATCTGTAAAGTGGGTGTGGCCGTGGACCCGGATCTCCAAGGGTCCCCTCCCTTCACAGCAGGTTCCTGGGGTTTGGAGGGGACGGGCAGGGGGCAGGGCCAGGGGCAGGGCTGGGGGGCAGGGCCGGGGGCAGGGCTGGGGGCAGGGGCAGGCCGGGGGGCAGGGGCGGGCTGCTGGGCTCACAGTGGTGAACTCGAAGTAGTAGAGGCAGTTATCCGTCAGGATGAACCAGCGCCGCTTCCAGGTCTTCACGCGGCCCCCTGCAAGAGGCCCGTGGCAGGGGAGGTCAGTCCTCCTCCCCCCCTGGCCACCCGTGTCCCCTCYACCCCAGGGCCGGGCCTTGTGTGTGCCTCCCTGGGACCCAGCAGAGGAGGGAGAGTCCCGTCACCCCCCGCCCGCCCCTTGCAGTGGCCCCCGCACCCTGGGCTTGCCCCACGCTGGGCTCCCTGGTGACCAGGCTCCCGGAACAGGGCGGCCCTGCCCGCCGTCGCCCTGGGCTCATGCCCTAGCCTGCTGCCTGCGGTCACTCGGTGGGCACTTCATCTTTTATCTGCCTGCCTGGTTCTAGAGGATTTGGGGACATTTACCTATTGACCCTCCYGGGGTGGGACGGGAGCCCTCTTAACCGCGGTTACAGCCGCAGGACCTGCCCTCTGCCCTGGGCCCTGCCAAGGGGCAGAGCTGAGGCCCAGACCCCAGGGGCCCGATTCCAGGCCCAAACACGACTCAGCCTCTCAGGGGATCACTGTCCCCACTCAGCTGCAGAAGCTGAGGCCGGAGCCTGACCGCTGACCTCTGGTGAAGAGCAGGARCGTGAGCCCTGGGCGTGTGGCTCCGAGCACTGCCCCTGCCTGGTCAGGGACCGTGACTGCCAGCAGACGGCGGGGGCTGGACAGAGGACAGACTGGGCTGGGCAACAGGGCTTGGGGGGCGCAGGGGCCTGGCACAGGGCTGGGCACMCGTAGACCCTGGGGGCCACCCTGGCCGAGGGCCTGCTCCAGCACGGAGCCTGCAGCTGCTGCCCTGCCACGCCCAGCGTCCTGGGTCACACTTCGCACTCCCGCCCCGTCCTGAGGGCAGCCCTCTGCCCCCACCAGTCTCCACCGGCTGTGGGACCTGAGGTGGTGCCTTGGTTCCTCAGAAAGGCTGGCTGCAGAGGGACTRCAGTAGGAGGGCCTGACAGGCGGCACCCCTTAGGACGCCTCTCCATCCCTCCAGCAGGGAGGGCCGGACTGTCCACAGACGCCTGGGCCTCCCCGTGCCTTCCAGCCTGGCTCCCC